TTAGCGCGACAAGCGCTTCTCTCCGCAAAGCAGAGGCGAGGCGTTTCATTCGCGCCGACTATACGCAACGGGTCTAGGGGTGGAACCCTATTGTAATGCAGGCAAAGGATTTCTTTCTAAGCTAAAAGGGCCTAATATTTAACTTCGGCGCATCAGCAGGTCTCATCTGGACACCACGGGGCATCGGCAAGCGCTAGGGACGTACATGACACAACACTCCACCTTATTCAGCTGTTCCGGACTCTTGAAAACCTTTTTTGCATACTATGACAGGTGAAAATGTAAATAACAGGCGAATTTCCCCTCAATTGCCACTCCAGGTGCAGCGTGGACGAAGCCAAGTCGCGAGCTGCTCGTCTTCAGGGCGCCGGCGCTGCACTGAGACACTCCCGTGCAATACTGATATTTTCAGTTGCCTTAGGCAGGACTAAAAATGCCCGTGCAAAGAGTCAATTCGGTCTCAAAACATATCGAACACCCGTCGCAGTGGCTCCTTTAGTGGAGCCACTGCGACGGGTGTATATGTTTTCAGTTCAGGCGGGCGTCCGCTGGGCTGCGAAGTTTAAATACCGACCCTTTGAGTTCTCATATCTAATACGCAAAAGTATGCTACGCCAACAAAGCTAGATACCGACTTCCACTGTGCAGCAGGAACCAGCCCACGACGCATCCTCTCCACCAGTTCAGGCCCTGTCGCTGTGCCCAAGGCGCCTGGAGGCCGGAAGGGCAGCGCCTCTTCTTAAAAGTCTCATCTTAAGTGATTTTACCCTTTATTGCCGCTGACAACGGTTGCCTGCCGAGGACTAGGTTACGAAATTCTTGTCTCTCCAATTCCATAGACCTCGTGTTTTTCCTTCGAGTTGTGGGTCTGGCCCATTACAAAGAAAGTACGTGTTCCGAGCGGGGCCCTGCACCCGAAATTATCTATTTCAACTCTCCCAGCACTTGATTAAAGCTCTTGTTGTCCTCTGAAGCATCTAGCCTGCGTATTACAGCACAACGTAGTGTCGATCCACAGCGGATCGTTATCGCTCCACTTATTCAATGCATAAGTGGTAGCATGACTACCTAGATGCCCCCTTTGTTGAAATTAACACCTAAGTACGCGCGCGTTTTGAAACAAAATTCATTCAAAAGGTATCTACCTCGATGCTGCATCTCCATTATCGGCCTGGACTCCGCTGCTATGCTAACGAGCAGACACACTGCCTTGTCGCTCGCACTGCAACCGCCCCAACGGGGCCGCGGGCCGCTCATGGCTGATCGTTTCAGTGAAGGGTGTAATATTGCGCAATATCTCGTTCTCTTTGTCTTGCTTGATCCATTTTTACCACTAACTTGTTCCACTTCCTGCGGGGAATCGCCGTTTCTCAGCAGGTCTGGAGAGAGGATTCCTTGCGAGGCGCCTTTATTTGCCTTTCTTGCACCTTCCCTCTGGACTGCCCCTTCCAAAATCGCGAATACCTTCTGTTTACGCTTTTATTCCCGAACATCTTGGTCTTCCAGAGCTCTGCAGGTGAGGGACTTATCTTCATGAATCTGTTGCGGTCTGGTGTGTTCGCCTGTGACACGGAAAACGGCGGAGTTGAAGCACTTAATTCATTTGCGCTGCACATTTTCCTCCAAGCGTAGTATATTTTTGTTGTGTGCCTCGCGCTTGCTTCAGCTACGCCTCAGGACCGTCCGGAGTGGACTCGTAGCATTTCAGAGTCACTCGACGCGACAGACCCCTCGCAGTGAGTGCAAGGCAACTGTGTAGACCGAGCTCAACTGCATACGATGTTAATGAACCTCTGCTGATTAGCAGGCTCCAGGATCGCGCGCACGCCACGGAATGAAGCTGACGGGAGAAGAACGATGTGTGGAGTGGACAGAGTAAGGCCAAAGCGCTGCCTGCAGCTAAGAGATGCATATTTACCATTAGATTTTCAGTTTACATACCCTTTCCAACACTTTCTTCTATATAAGCTGCGCCGCCTCGAGCAGCATTCTGGACTTTGCAGGGGTAGCGATCGCTGTACTTCCATATCTTCTTCTCCTCCGCATCATTTGCTGCAGCTCTTGGTTATGCATTGCGTGCCTTTTATTAGCCCGTCTCCATGTTTCTTTATTTTTCACGAACTGTGGCTTCTCTATCTTCTTCGCTGCCGTTACAGGTTGGAGTGTGCTCCACAGCACTCCACAGCAGTTGCTGTCGCCTCCGCCGAGCTAAAGCACCCGCCGGATAATGTTGAGGAAACGACCGCACACAGCAATTATCAGCCTCCGAGTGCTGTGAAGTGCGTTGCCCCGAGCAGTTTTGGGGGGGGCTTGTACCGACTTTTTCGCGCGGAAATATCAAAGGCCTGTCACCTGCAGATAGACTGCGGCTTGAACGGCAGAGACTGGCGGTTGGTTTATGCGGGTAGCTCGTTGGTTGGTTTCGGCCCTTGCGCGTTGCTTCTTCTTCGGGGGGCGGTCTTCGTAGGCCACCTGGCGGCGCTAGTCTTTGTTAAGATCTACAGAGATATACTGTTCTTCACAACGTGGACAAACCTGGTGGCGCTCGCTGGTTATCTGCTGTCCACAATCATCAGCATTGCCGCAGTTTGCTCCCTCAGCAGGCAGACACAAGCGGCAGAGGCGGGGGGTGATGCTTCGGGCTCCAGCGCCTCCGCTGCGCCTCGCGGTTCCTGTTTATCTTTCTTCAAAAGGGTTGATTTGGAGTACAAACAGCTCCTGAAGCTGAAGACAGAGCTCACATGCTGCAGCCCACAATCCCCCTCTAAGACCCAACAGCAACCACTGGAGGGATGCTGCGACTTCAGGCGGCCCTTTAGTGGCGGCCCGAACCGGCCAGCGTTAGAGGCGCTGCTGTGCTTGCATGACGTCGTCTTCTGTTTGGCATTGCCCATGGTTACTGTAATGCTGTTGGTTTACTGGACTCTGTTGTTTCCGATGCACAGGCCCAACCATCTGTGGGCTTCGGTGTATGTGCATTTGTGTTGCCCATTAGCAACGTGGGGGCTGTCTCTTCTTTCCAGAGTCCCCTACAGACTGTGCATGCTCCCTTTCTGTTTCCTGCTGGGTGCATGTTATGCGGTCATGATTGCAACTATGCAGTCCTTCGGTTTTGGTTTTGTTTATTGGTTTTTAAACTTCCTGGAACGCCCCGCTGTGGCTTGCGGCATGACTGCCTGCTTCTTGCTTGTATTAAACCCAGCGGCAGCATGCCTCTGTTTTCTGGCGTTGTACCGCAACACCTCCGCTGTCATTGCTGCGCATCCGTGAAGGACCCAACTGGCCTCCTCCCTCCTCCACGAGGCAGTTATCTGCTTTTGAACTTCGGAGCTCCTGCCGATGGAAGGTGCAGCGATGTTGCTGGCAACTGTCGTTCGTGTGGTTTGGAGAGGATCCTTTCTAGAGGCGGTGTATTACGGCTGAGGCTGCCGCACATGTAGTTATCGGGGCGGCGCAGCTGCTGCTGAGTGCGGCGCTCCAGCCCTTCCTCATCATGTTTCCAGGCGGTCGCCAAGAGGCGCCTTTCATTCCATCGCATTTGCTGTGCCTCGCGCGTTTTCTGTTTGCCGCGATGGCCTTCAGGAGGGTCTGCTTTGCCATGACCCTTGCGCGGAGAAGGGCCTACTACACGTGAAAGGAGAGAGCAACTTTCCCCTAGAGGATATCGTCAGGGGAACTTGGGAACAGAGGAACAGGATTGTGCACATGTTGAAAAGTTCGTTGTGCTGTCTGTATAGAAGGCTGAACTAGATGGCACCGGGCTTCAGGTGCTCCCGCTCCTTCAGTTTGAACCGCTTTCAGGGGGTAGAGCCCTGCCAAATATGTCGTGAGTTCCTCCCCTTCCGGATGCGCCCGGAGTGCGCGGTGCCGAGGGCGATAAATGAATGCAGTACCGGCTCTACCACAGCAGGTACCTGTGCAAGCAATTTAATGAGTATTTTCTTTCCTCGGAAAAACTGTAGTTTCGTAGCTCGGCTTTGGCGTTTTTGTTGCTTCGGCCCCGGCTCTTCGCGCAGCTGTTCCGAGAGCATAACAGTAACATAAGCGGCATTTGCAGCCGATGATAGGCAGACACTTGTAGGCACACAGCGAAGAAGGATGCTGTCTCGGGGAGGGAGGGCAGGGAACAGAACTATAAAGTCAGAACTTACCAGCACGCATGCACGCACGCACACGCTCACACATCCACACGCAGCCATACACACGGCGAGTATGAAAGCCAACGGAAAGTAAGGCCCGTAGGCGCCGGATAAGCTCTCTGACCTAGCCAACAGAAAGGGCTTCCCGGGAGGACATCAGTGACCTTGTTCCCCGTAGGCAGGCTGCGGATGAACATCGGGGCTACATCTTTTAGAATGGCTTTTCTAGACCAGTTGCACAACTGTCAGAAGGTGGTGAAGTTGTCGCTCCGGTAGTATCTACGGTACGCTGTCTCAGCAAACCACCGCAACCGGAGCTCGGTCGGCATTTGTAATAACAAAGTAAAAATTTAGCCAAATGAGCCAAAAAATGAGCCACAAACAACATTAGCTGTGGGGGTCTGCTTCTGAAATAGCACGCTGCTGAAAAAACCGGTTCCGTACGTCAGCGTTTTAATAAGCCTTCTGGACGGATAGGCGGTGGCTCGGTGGAGCATCCGGCCTCCCTGCGTCCTTGTCTGTGACCAGCATCTCAAGCACACAGCAGGCCTGGCCTGCACCGAGACAGCCCCACGGCAACAAAGACGAAATCAATGTATAAGGCAACGGAGTGGACGCTGGAGTTACCAGAAAATGTCTAGGGAGCTTCGCTCCTAGTGGAGCTTCCCGTTATCAGGGACCCTAGGTAAATATAGTAAACGCACACATCGCAAGCGCGCCTGTCTCTTGTCCCAAAAGATTCGCGGAACGCAGAGGTTAACCCGCTGCTCTACAAGGCAAAACCCAGGACTTGGCAAAGGCGCCGAAACTGGGAGCTCCTGCTGCTTGCCGCTGCTGGGCGCCGCAGTTGGGTTGCTGCTGCTAGCCCGCAGCTAAAATATTCCGGAGAGCAGCGGCTAGCCTCTCCTCTTGATCCTTGGGCAGAAGACAACTCTGCCAGTTGACTTTATCCTTCTCTCCCAGCAACTCCGCCATGACCTCTCTGCCAAAGTTCATCGGAATCTTCCCGTTTTCTCTCCCCGACTGTACGTGCAAGTACCGATCAATTGTCTGACCTCGTGCTGTACAAACGCCCGGTACCTCCACGTAGAAATACCCCAAGTTAGGGTCCTTCGCCAGCTCAGACAGCGCAGTTATATCCGAAGAACTCGGAAGCTTTTGCAGCGAAAGGCCCGCCCGCCGCGCCCGTTTCTATAAGCAGAAACACAAACAAACACATCACAACCACAATTCAACCACTTGCATGTACAACTTCATCAAAGTGAAGTCCCGCAATCACACAGAAGAAGAAGAATAGCTTTGTGCAGAACTGTGCCGTTCAACGGTGAGGCCACGAGGATGCTGGGGGGTTGTCATGCTGCCTTCGTAGTGTACATCTAAAAGCAAGGCTTCCAAAATAATCACTAATTCCATATCCATTTAGATATCTTCTTCATTATTTACTTAGAGATATTTTTAATTGGATTAAAATCCCCTTCGCTCTACCCACTGCGGTGTGTACACAAGACAAAGGAATTCAGCACTTAAAGCATTGAAGGGTGTACAGGTTGATTCGTTGCTTTACCTCAAACAACTCCCCCGATCGCAGGGCCTGAGAGCGGTCGCAGGGAATGGCCTGCAGCTGGCAGTGCATCGCCTTGGTGGTCTTCATCGGAACGTACCGCTCGTACACAACCAAGTCCAGGCTCTGCACGCACTCAAACCCTGAACCCCAAAAGTGGCCTCTAAACCCTCAATCATGCATTTTTTCGATGCGGAACGCCTCTTTGGGCCCTAAAAGCCTAGAGCACGCATTCTGTTTAAACAACGCATCTCTAAAGACAAGGGGAGATTGGCAAGAAAGAAATCACTAGCCGAGCGTGGCCTTCACGGTCATCCATAAAGAGAGGGAGTTCACATCAAAGCATAAAGTGCGCCTCTCACTGAGGCTGAGAGAGGAGCTTCAGTTGAATATGCAGCAGCCGTTGCAAGACATTTCACACCTCTTTTAGCTCCTTATGCTGGACAGTGGGTTGAGTGTTTGTGAAAGAGTGAACTCTCACCTGTTTGTGGAAGGCCTTGCGTGCGGCTGCCACGAGTTCAGCTGCCTCTCTGCGCGTATCTGCGTCAGCGTATGCTAGAGAAGGCAAATGGGCAATAGGGATGAGCAGCATGTGAAGAGAGGTGAGTCCTCCTTTCGGTACTGCGGAGTACAGGCGGTCCGCTATGTCCACAATCATGTGCTTCTCAACCTGAGGGTTCGCCAGGCAGAACCAGCAGTCTGCATGCGGCTCTGTGGCAATCACATCGCTGCACTTTACTCGCTTCTCCCCTGCAGGTCTATCAAAGGGAATCTTGTCGTAGTACAAACGCAACCGAAGAGGGCGGCCTCCCCCCTCCAGCTGTCCTGACGCTTCTGTTGCTTTGGCGGCGCACTTGGGGTCAACGTACACCACAAACCTGCACAAGCCGTCAGTAAAACAAACTACACGCCAATATGCGCCAACAACACGAACAAAGGAGCAGCCACAGACTACCCCACGACCCTGTCCGGATGCAGCAACAGCAGGAACAGCAGCAGCAGGAGGAGCTGCAGCAGCAACAGCAGCAGCGTGGAGTGCCATATTCCGTGCGCCTCACGCTTTCCCCGTTCCTCTGGTTGGGTCTGCCTTGTCCTTCGGCATAAAGACGAATTTTACTGTTCCAAATTGCTCCATAGCATCCTTTAAGGGCCCCTCGTCTGTGACTGCATAAGGCAGGTTCTCAACCAGCACTACACCTGTCTCCCGCTGCCTCTTGAAAGGCCTTTGGGGTCCATGAACGCCGGCACCAGGGTATGGAGACAGCTGCGTGGGGCTTAGTGATGGCCCCTCTCCTGCTGCTGCAGGAGAAGCATGCAGCTGCAGCAGTCCTTGCCTACTGACACAGACAAATGGGTTGGGGCTGTTGCACTCAAGAGGGACACAATACAGCGCAGCACGGGCTTCCTGTGCTGCATCCGCTGCCGTTGCTGCGTTCTCCAGCTCCTCTTGCTTCAGCTCCCCTGGTTGTTGCTGCTGTTGTACTTGCTGCTGCACCTGCTCCAGCATTTCTGTTGTGGGCCGCAGCTGCAGTGCATGGAAGGCTTTCACCTGAGGGCCCTTTTCTCCCACCACTCCCAAGGAAATTAAACGCATTGAATACCCTGCAGCATAAGAGACGAAGAGAGCAAGAGGACAAGGACAGACAGCCTTCATCTGCTGCAGCAGCATTCACCAGCAGCAACAGCGGTAGCAGTCCGCCAGTAGTACAAACCAACCATGTCAGCCTGTTTCAGCCCTGCTTCAAAACAGCTCCTGCAGCATGTGCAGCTTTAAAGAGAACAGCCAAAGGCCAAAGTCGAACAGGTGCCTGTTGCAGCAGCAGCAGCAGCAGGTACAGATACTCTGCAGCTGCTGGAGCCGGTGGGGCAGGACCTTACCAAAATGCCTTCCCCTAAAATGAGGCCTTTGCCAGAAGAGCCCCAAGCCGCTACAGACGATGTGACGAGGCTCGATGAAGTCTGCGAGACAGCTGCTCTCTCTACAGCTGCAGTAACAACCCCACCGCAGCAACACCAGGACTCAGGATAAACGGCAACTGCAGGAGCATCGACATTGGTACGTGCACAGCAAGTAAGCATACAGCGACGCACACGAAAAAAAACAGCTCAACTGCTGCACCCAGGGCAGCAACAGCAGCACTACCACCACTAGCATGAGCACCAAAGCGCAGGCGTACCAGAGACCGCAGCAAGAAAGGATGGAGATGATATAAATGGGGTATTAAACCAAAGGCATTCACACCCTTTCTGACAGAGGGGGAAGAAGGACCAACTTACTAGAGTCCTTCGGAGTTAGTCGATGACTCCTCAGCCCCAGCAACCGCTGGGCTTTCCTTTTTGCCGTCCGTAACAGCAGGGTCGTTCTCATTCTGCTGCTGCTGCTGTTCTTGTTGTTGTTGCTGCTGCTGCTGTTGGTTCTGCTGGTGGGGTAGTAGGGCCGGCGCCACACCGGGGGGAAGTCCATCGAATATGCCTAAGGGAGGCCTCGTGGTTAGCAGGATGTCGATGCGGCCCCTGAAAGCTTCAAAGCCGCCCCAGCCATTCGCGAGACTCAAGGCAAATGCAGCACCTCTGTCGTCAGAGACAGGCTGCTGCTGCTGTTGCTGCTGCTGCTCCTGCTGATCCTGTGTCTGTTGCTCACTGGGTGCATCGGACAACTCAGGTGGCCCTTGCCCTCCGTAGAAGGCAATGTTGAGGCCGTGCAGCTCCGTTACCCCCGCTCCCGCCAGAAGCCAAACATTATCTAACAACCGCAGTGGGGTGTACGCACACCCGGGTGCTCTTGACACAGCAGGATCCGCCTGCGGCAGGTTGTTTGATTCCACGCCACTTCCGTTCTCCTTCGGCGATTTTTCTCCATTCGGTTCTTCTTTGATATCTTTAATATCTGCAGCTGGGCTCTCAGAAGGTGCAGCAGATCTAGCAGCGGCAGCAGGAGGCGCAGGTGGATCCTCTGTTTTGACCCTGTGGGGCCCTTCCGCGCTGCTGCTAGGCTGAGCTCCTGCCGTTATCCGGTTTTGTTTCTGCAGCTTCTGCACGCATCTGCTTGCAGCTTCATCGAGGATGTACAAAGGGATCGGGAGAGAACTGCAGCAGCGCTGCAGCTCGCCGAAGGCAGAGGGGAACTGTTGCAACAGCGCAGCACAGACAGCCTCCCGTAAGGCGCCTGGAGGTGCCTCATTTGAATTCAGAGGCCTCTCAGAGCGGCTATCTTGAGGGGAGGAGTTGCTGGTTTCAGGGGCTCGCCCCTGTTCCTCCGCTGTAGCAAAGAAAGACCCTGTGCATAGCACAAAATCGAAAGGACCCTTCTTCTGCAGCTGTTGCAGCAGGCGGTGCAACTCGCTGATGCGGCCGCGGACTTCACCGCAAAGGAGCACACGAGCCATTCCTCCAGTCACCAGCGAATCCCACAGTAAACATGCATGCAGACCAGTGGTTGCTGGCTGCCTTGAAGAAACGCAAAGGAGGAAACGCGATGCAAAAGCTCCATCAAAGGGGTCACCTTTTTCGAAAATTTGACAACAAGATGAAAAATAAACAAATATTTCGGTCGCAACTAACAGGTTCTCCCAAATTCACAAAATCGCGCATTCAGTAAGCCCCGATGGGGCTGGCTTGTGTTGTTGCATGCAACTTTCGGCCATATTCCTCTGCAATGTTGCATTTACTTGTTGAACATATCTATATATATGCATATACATGTATGAACTATCGGTCGTCTGCCATACGTTTTTTGAAGGGGGAAACACTGTAGATTCTCATGCCACGTCCTCTCTGGATTATACCTATGGTTAAGGTGGGTTTGCTACTCATTCCTGCTATGTGTTGGCGGACAAATATGCAGCACTTTTGCATAGTTTGGGTTTAGCCGAAGATTCCTGCATGCGTCATGCGATGAATCTGCTGCTCCAGGAAGCCGCAGCACTAGCGGGGCAGCTTTTCTGTACCGGGGCCTGCAAGCCATAGGTCTATGACTTATTTTTTTCGTACTATGGGCTGCCGCACGGTTAGTGACTGCTCAAAAATTGATTGCGGCGTTAGTGTCTATGCTGAAAATGGCTTGGCACCCCGTGTGCAATCGAGCCCTTGCGACAGGAGTTGTAGCAGAAAGTCCTGCAACTCAGGGGAGCCACCCCCCCTCTCCCCGTCAGTACTAGAACCCTGCTCTGTTGCACTCAGAGTGCCTGATAGGAAGGGTGGCCAGTTGCTCTTGGGCAAGCCATTGCAGAAAGTGGTTTGCAAGCTACTGCAGAAAGCGGTTCGGCTGCGCCTTCCGACGGTCCAACGCACAGGCCGAGGGCTCTTGCACACTCCTAACAGCATCCCGCAGGTGGACAGGCTAAACTGCGGCACATGCCCTATCCTCCCGGAAAGAAATTGCTCAGGGTTTGCTCTCCGGCGGCGAGGCGGCAAAAGGCTTGGCATCTCGCCGCGTTGCAGCTGGCTTGCTTTCGCTAGCCCACCCAGCCAAAAGCATTTTTCTATAAAGAACGCAGACGAAGAATGCCTTCGCCTGTGCCGACCACTTGAATAGCAGGGGTGCCTGGGGACCAAGGGAAGGATTTCCTTGCCTGTCTGGAAATGTACTTGTGTTTCTATAATGGACCCGATCACAAACCGTTCGCATTGGCGTTTTCTTTACTTGAAGGCGTGGCACGAATGGCCTAACCTGAGCAAGTGTGCCTCCTTTGGGGAAAGGGATTTTGACAAACAGGTTGCACAGGGAACAGGGGACAGCCTACTATGGCAAATCTCAAGAAAATTAAGCAACGGCAGCTATCAAGAGGGCGTAGTTTCTAGAATATCAGCCCTTGGTGAACAGAAGCTCCACAGTGGATTAAAAGCCCGTCTACCAATGGCTTAGCACAGGGGCGTCACCTGGAGAGAGGTTATCACTAAATCGACAGCCAGTGGAGAGAATGTTGAACGGTAAGCAATTTAGGACTGCCTACCAGTCTAAGAGAGTTAGAAGAATAGTCACGCTTACTCCCCTTTCTTATAAAAGGGGGAGCACTACAACGTTTGGATATTCTGTATGTGATTCTAACCATTCCCAGAAGAGAAAAGGATCGAGACCGATTGGCGACACAGTTTAAAGGGGAAGCGCACGCCTCTAGACGGCCACCATCTTTGCCGGATCTGAGTTGAGACCTGCTTGAGAGGCACGAAGCCCTTGGGATTCAATTGTTGGTACGAGAAACGAGAAACGAGAACCTTCGTGCCTTTGCGAGCCACTGTTAACTATGCAACTGTAGAGCACGCAGCATATGCTGCAACTGCTCCTCCACATTCCGGTTGGGCAGGAGCACTCCCTCCGTGCAGATTATTATCCAGAGATCATATGCTTGGGCGAAGAAGTCGTGATTGACCTTTCGCTGCATTTTTGCATGTGTGCTCACGAGTCTAGAGTTCCCACTTGTGAATCCTAGCTTGACAGTCAAGGCTGCAGCGAAGAAGTAGTGCCTTGATCCGGTGCATCGGAAATTTTTGTGGGGCTTGGAGGCAGCGCACAGGCATCAATTCCAGTTCTGTTTCCTCTCCAGCACCCTATTTTTTTCCGAGCGCGCTGGTTGAAGGTTCACTTTAGCCTTTTCTGTTACAGTTTATCAGCTTGCCGCTCGATTTCCGCCTCCAGATATCGAGGTCTCCTGCGCCTCGGTACTTTCACGAAGCTCCTGCCTATGCCTAGAAGGTGAGTTTGATGCGTCACCATGGAGGGGCTCGCTGCTCGCATATGCCCAATGAACCACGCATTGCTAAACAGCGTAGCGGGGGTCCTTTACCTAAGCTGGGGGCAGCGGCGCGCGGCAGTAGATTTCAAGACTCAAGATAAGCGTTCCTAAAAAGTTTCTGATTTTGTCTACATCACTTAGGCCTCCTGGGAACAGCGGCCGAAGGGCCTGCGGCTACTTCGGGGAGGAGCCTGCGCGCTTTGAGGTGTAACGCATCTTGTCGCAACTGGTGCTGCAAGCCGGATTTTCTGCATGCTCTAGCACTGTATATAATTGTTTTACATCTCCTCGGTCCTAAGTAGCCAGCCTGTGCGAAAGTAGAAACCGAGTTGCCGGCATCAGATGGACTATGTTACGTAGTGCATGCTCTAACACTGTAAACAAGTGTTCAACACTTCCTTGGCAATGTGAAGTCAGCACGAACGCAAAAACAAATATGCATAGCAACCACCCAGCACCTCCAGACAGACCATTCTAAGAACACCATCCTGCCTCCCACCAATGCGTTCGGCAGTAACATATGTTTGTATGCTCTCTTGGCTGGCTCCCTGCTATGAAATACGGGAAGGCAGGGAGAAGGGAGAGCTAGTAATGCTGTTTTAATTTGTTTATTTGTTTTAACGTAGCTCTGCTTGTTGAGAGAAGGTGTAAGGAGCACAACCAGCGGAGGATGGTAGCGGGGCTCTGTGCCTTCTGTGGGCGAGAGTTCATTAGGGTGTCTGGGTGTTTGTGGTGCTTCTGGCTGTAGATACGCGGAAATCTCGTTGAATAAGGGCGAAGAAAAGGGTAAATAAACAAATTATTTGTTTAAAAAACACTGCTAACAAGAAAAGGCCCTTGTCTGCGTGTTGCAACAGGTGGGGGGGTGCTGTGCCACCTCCTGCATATTAGCCGAAAGCGTCGCCCATATGATGATATGGCATCCTAAGGCAGAAGCGGGTGCAAGACAGACCTTGTTTGTTGCATGCATTGATGAAATGCCTTTTGAATTTGTTGATTTCTTTTTCAAATATTGACTGAGGGCGTAGGAGCCCAAGGTTCCCCTGGACGCAGCAGCTTCCGTGTTCGTATTCACTCTCTCACTCACCCTGCTGCCTATACACTGCAGCGCTGCCTGAGGCTGCCTGAGCTGCCGCTCCTACTGTTATCAAGCCTAGGCCTTGACACAAGCATGTCTGCAGCGCTCTCTCTGCGCTGCTGCCGCTCCTAAACGTGTGGTTTCTGTTACCCAGTATAGCTGTCCATACACCCCAACAAACCCACCGACCTGATACCCCCGAACACCACCACGCCACATATATACAAAACGTAAACTCAGCATGTCACCCCAACACCTCAAACCCTCCCTCCCGCCGGGGGGTCATTCAAGTCGCTGGCATAGTGGCCGCCATGGGGGGAGCCTCAAGCACCCGGTGTGGAAGCCTCAGACCCCGAAACAGCCCAAGCAGGAGCATCAGCAGCAGCAGCAACAACAGCAGCAACAACAGCAGCAGCAGCAGAAACACATTGAAGAGGGTAAAGATGCTGCGGCAACACCAACTCACCAACACCCACCTGAGGCTGTATCCATAGGCGAACTCGATTTCAGCCCCCCTGCAGATCTTTGCCTCAATGAAGGCTCCTTCCCCCCTCAGTTGCTGCAGCAGACAGCTACCATGGTTAACACTGTTGCTGCTGCTGCTGCTGCTGCCACAGCAGCGCCGAAGCTTCCGCAGCATCAGCAGCAGCCCAGCTTCTGCCTGCCACCTCCCGCCGCCGACGAGCGCAACCTCAGCAGCTCTCAAGGCAAACAAAACGAAAAGAGTACAGACACCGTGTGGCCTCCACTGTCCAGGGCAGCTGTTGTAGGCAAGAAACCGAATGGCCGTGGCTTTCAGCAGCAGCAGCAACGACAGCGGCAGCAGCAGCAGCAGCAGCAGCAGCAGCAGCAGCAACAGCAGCAAGCGGCCAAAGATGCACAGGACAGCGACGCTTCCTTCGGATGTGATGCCTCTCGATCTGCTAATAGCCCTCCTCCATGCAGGGCCCCCCCCTCTTCTCCTGCATCTGCTGCTCCAGTGGACGTGGAGGCGGGAGCGGGCGGTTCCTCTTCAAGCTCTGCAACAGCAGCAGCAGCAGCAGCAGCAGAAACAGCAGCAGCGGCAGGCGTCCGCGCTCCTCCTGGTCTTAGCGGTCCTGACGTACAGAGTGCTTTGCTGCGTGCTTCTTTCTTAGGCCGCACAGATATTGTAAAGTTATGTTTAGAAAGGGGGGCGTCTCCGGCTGCAGCAGATGCAATAGGGAGAACACCACTGCATTACGCTGCAGCAACGGGTGTGGCTCAGGCGGTGTCGCTGCTGCTGCAGCACGCCGCTAGGGCGGACGGGCAGCAGCAGCAGCAGCAGCAGCAGCGGGGAGGCGGAGGAGGGCTTGCTGCACTTGTTGATAGGCCAGATAAGAAGCGGTGGACTCCGCTGCTTATTGCTGTTACTAAAGAGCACGAGCCCTGCGTTCGGCTTCTTCTTGCTGCTGGTGCAAACCCTCAGCATTTGCTCTGCCATCGCTGCGCTCCCTGTAGAGGCTACAGTGCAACTGCAGCAGCAAAAACATCCTCCGAAGCTGCTGCTCCAGCAGCAGCAGCAGCAGTGGAGGCAACAGCAGCGGCCGACAATTCAGACGAAAATACGCAGCTAGGGCGCAAGAAAAATACCGCTAGTGACAGCTGCGACAGCAGCAGCAGCAGCAACAGCAGCAGCAGCAGCAGCAGCGAAGGGTCCTCTTTACAAACGTGGAGTGCAGCAATTCATTTTGCTGCTATCAAGGGCAATATCCCTATATCCGAGTTGCTGCTGCAGCACGGCAGCACGGGTAGGTGATGACTGCGTCTTTGCTGTTTCTGTCTTTTTGTCTTTGCTTCTTCTTTTTGTTGTTTTGTCTAATCTCTCCTGCTGCTGCTCCGCATTAGCAGCTAATTGATTGGGGTTTGGGGTGCTGTCCCTATACAGCCACGGCTAGCTGCAGTTAGCTGTAGCTAGCTGTATCTAGCTGGAGCTAGCTGTGGCTAGCTGCTGCCTGCTTCATTTCGTTTGTACGCAGGAAGCTGTTGCTTGCTGCATTGGCTGTCTTTATTTTAAAAATGTTTATTTCTTTGTCTTTGCTGCTGCTGCTGTTGCTGCTGCTGCTGCTGCTGCAGTTAATGACTTGGACTCAGACGCGAGACCGCCGCTGCATTATGCAGCATGCAGAGATAAACCGGAGTATGTGCGGTGGCTTCTTCAACAAGGTAAGGAAGAGAAAAAATTATATATATAATTCTTTTTCTGTCTTCATCTTTGCTTGTGTTTGTTTCTGCTGGTCTTCATTATTATCGGTTTGCCCCTGTCTTTGTCTTTGTTTGCTGTTGTCTTTGTCTTGGTGTTTCTTCTTTTTTTTTTCTGATGTTGCGTCTGTCTTTATCTTTCGCTGTCTTTGTTTCTGCTCGTGTCTATGCTTGTCTTTGTCTCTGTCTTTGTCTTTGCCTCTGTTTCTCTTTGTTTGTGATTGTCTTTCTTTGCGTTTATATCTATGTTTATGTTTAATTTAACCTACAATAATATAAATTATTATATTATAATAATATATATGCTCTTATGTTTGTTCATACATATACATAAACATCTATATATATATATATACATCTCGCTGCATGCGTTTGTTTAGTTTGTTTATTATATTTTTGTGTCTATAGTCTGCATGCTTGTGTTTCTTTGCATTATCTCTTTAATTTTTTTTTCGTTGTTTTTTCTGTCTTCTCTTAGGGGCTCTGCCTGACCTCCTGGATATAAATAAAAGAGGTGCATTTCACGCTGCAGCAACGCGAGGAAATCTGCAGGTTGTGCAGCTGCTGCTGGAAGCAACGCCCCCAAAGGCTCTGCTGCGGCTGCTGCTGCAGCAAGATGTCTGGGGGCTTACAGCTGAAGCCCTTGCAAGGCTGCACGGACATCGCTCTATGGTGAGGTGTCTCGCTGTCTCTGTCTCTTCTTCTGTCTCTTCTTCTGTCTCTTCTTCTGTCTCTTCTTCTGTCTCTTCTTCTGTCTCTTCTTCTGTCCCTTCTTCTGTCTCTTCTTCTGTCTCTTCTTCTGTCTCTTCTTCTGTCTCTTCTTCTATCTTTTGCTGTCTCTTCTTCTGCTGCATTTTCACTCTTTTTCTGTCTCCTTTTGTTCTTCATTTTTATTGTGGCTGTCTCTGTCTCTCTTGCACGCCCTTCTGTCTCTTTTGTCTCCTCTGTCTCTTCTTTACTTCTTTTCTCTCTTCGTCTGTCTCTTCTTTATTTGTTTTGTCTGTCTGTTCTTTCTTTGTCTCCTCTGTTTGTCTTTGTTCTGTCTGCTTTACCTCTCATCTTTCTGATTGATGTCTTAATAGACTGTCTCTATTTCTGCTGCTGCTGCTGCTGCTGTTGCTGTTGCTGTTGCTGCAGCACTTGCTGCTGAAGTCATACAGAGAAGCGGTGGAGTCTCAAGTGGGGATGGAAGAAGCTGCTGCAGCAGCAACCTGCTGCGCCATAGGCACTCAGGGTCTCTCAGACACCGCTGTCTCTGCTACAATAGCAGAAGTCTTAGCTACAGGCCTTCAAGTCTGTTGCTGCTGTTGCTGTTGCTGCTGCTGTTGCTGTTGCTCCTGTTACTGCTGCTACTGCTGATGGTGCTGAAGCTTAGGGTTTGGGGTTTAGGGTTTAGGGTTTAGGGTTTAGGCTTCTCTTTCGTAATTCTGACTTCTTTCTTCTGTTTCCCCTGTGTGTGTATTCGTATTTGCTTCTTTTTGTCCCTTGCATGAAAGTATTTAAATGATTATTTTATTGTACTTTGCATGTACATTTATAATTATAGTTTATATTTATATTTATATTTATATTTATATTTATATTTTTCGTTTCCTCTAGGAACTAAAGAAAGCAAAACTGCTGCGCGCTGTTCAACGCCTGGGCACACTGCCTTGTCTGAAGGCCTATCAGCAGACTTTGATGATTCAAGCACTCGGTAGCTTCACACTCTTTGCTTCTCCAACTGCTGCTGTTGCTGCTGCTGCTGTTGCTGCTGTTGCTGCTGCTGAGGGGGGTCTGCGGGGTGTTGCTCATGCTGTTGCTGCAAGTGGTGGTGTTGCTGCTGCTGCTGCTGCTGCTGGCCTTGCGGATAGTTAGGGGCCTCAGTAGGCCTGCTTGCTGAGTGAAGGGAGGGCTTCATTTCTGTGCAGTGTTCGTTTGCCTTGGTGTAGTTAAATTAGCATAAATATATATATATATATATTTATATATATAATTCTTTCTATGGGGCTGGACCTTTGGAAAGAATAGAAAAACCTATATACATACGTATATATATATATATGTAATATATATATACATACATATATATATATATATATATATATATGTAATGTATATATACGCCTTACATCAATGTTTTTGAATACCTGTTCGTAATATTTGTACATTATCTCCTACTTCTGCTATATTTAATATTTTAAACTCTGTTTGCTGATTATTAATCAGAGTGTTTATTTATAAAGGCTGTGATATTTGTGTATTATCAATCGCTATCTGCATTGCATGCCTTTCTTTGCGGTGTCTCTGCATCTTTTGTTGCTGGATCGGCATTGCTACTATTATTACTATTAGTATATTATTATTATTAGTATATTGTTATTATTAGTATATTATTATTATTAGTTTATTATTATTATTATTAATTTATTTATTTATTTATTTTAATTATTTGTTTCTTCAGGGGGTATGCTGGTGGCTGACGGAAGCCGTCGTAAGACAGCAGGCGGTGTTTTCTTCACTGTCTTGAATGAATTTGCAAAGGAGGGGCAAATTTCTAGGGACGATTTGGCCTTTGTTAATGCAGTGAGGCCCCACACCTCTTCCTTGATTGCTGGTGCTGCTCCCCCGCACCCAGCTGTACCTGCTGCTGCAGCAGCAGCAGCAGCTGCTGCTTCTGCTGCGGTAGAGCTGCAGCAACTGTTGCAGCAGAAGCAGCTGCGGCAGATGCAACAACTGCAGAAGCAGCAGCTGCTGCGACAGGTGCAGCAACTGTAGCAGCAGCAGCAACTCCCCGTAGTGTCTGTAGCTGCTGATTTTTTTGTTGTGCTGAGGTGTACATACACCCCAGAGTGCATGCGCTGTGATTCTTCGCAGGAGGATTGCGAGACCCAGAAGGCAATGAGGCGAAGGGCGAGGCCGACTGTTGAAGTTGTTGCCCGCCCCCCGCTTCCTGCTGCTGCTGCTGTTGCTGCTCCTGCTGCGGCTGCTGCTGCTGCTGCTGCTGCTGCTGTTGGGACTGATGCAGCGGTGCACAGAGCGCCGGTCCAACCGAAACAGCAGCAGCAACCGTTGCGGCAAAAGCAGCAGCAACATGGACAGCAGCAGCAGCAGCAGCAGCAACAGCAGCAGCAGCAGCAGCAACAGCAGCGACAGCAGCAGCAACAACCGAGGCAAGCTCGAAATCAAAAACAGCTGCAGCAACGGGGTCCTCCGCAACGTCAGCAGCAGCAACAGCAGCAACCGCAGCGGCAACAACAGCAACAACAGCAGCAACAGCAGCAACAGCAGCAACAGCAGCGGCAACAACAACAGCAACAGCAGCAACCACAACAGCAGGAGCAGCAGCAACAACAGCAGCAACCACAACAGCAGCAACAGCATCAACAACAGAAACAACAGCAACAGCAGCAGCAACAGCAGCAACAACAACAGGCGCAACAGCAGCAGCACCAAACTCGGCTGAGGCAGCAGCACCCGCCACAGCTGCAACAGCCGCAGCAGCCGCAGCAGCAACACCAGCAGCGGAAGCAGCAGCAGCAGCAGCAGCAGCAGCAACGGCCACAGAGGAGCGAGGCTTCTGCGTCTTCTTGTGCTGCCACGCGCACTTCGCTTGTAGCTCCGAGCAAGGGCCCTCAGTCTCCCGCGAGCAGCAGCACCAGCAGCATCAGCAGCAACACTGCAGCAACATCACCTGCAACTGCAGCAGCACAGCAGCAGCCTTTCGCCTTCCCCCTCTTCTCTATGAACCCATATTGGCCTGTGGGCTTCCCTGGGCCGCTGTCGCCTCCTGCAAATATTAGCAAAGCCAATGGGAGTTCGTGGAATTCTGCTGCTGCTGCTGTTGCTGCTGCTGCTGCTGCTCAGCAGCAACAGCTAGCAGCAGCTGTGGCTGCTTCCTCCGCCATGAACTTCTCAGCACCGTCGCTCACCATGCAACAGGCAGTCGTTGCTGCTGCGCAGCAGCAGCAGCAGCTGCAACAGGCTGCCTTTGCTGCTGCAGCGTTTCCTGCAGGGCTGAAGCAGCAGCAGCGGCGGCGTCAGCTCTCAACAGCCCCCACAAAGCCAGGCCGGCAACAGCCGCACAAAAGTGCAGCAGCAGCAGAAGCAACAGCAGCAGCAGCAACAACAATGGAAGAGCCGCAGCAAGCTCCCAAAGCCAGCAGAAAGGGCAGAAGCGACTCCCACATCCCACAGCAGCAGCAGCAGCAGCAGCAGCAGCAGCCGACACCAATACAAACCGACACACAAATGCTGCTGGAGAAGATTCACCAGCAGCAGCTTCAACTGCAGCAGCAGCAACAACAGCTGGAACAGCTGCAGCTACAGCAGCAGCAGCAGCAGCAGCAGCAGTTTCAGCCGCGGCACGCAGTTGCAGGCGCTGCGGGAATGCAGCAGCGGGAGCGGCCTGGGGGGGCCCCCAGGGGAGGAAGGGGCTTCAGGGGCCCCCGTCGCTAAGCAGCAGCAGCAGCAGCAGCAGCAGCAGCAACAGCAGCACGAGGCTATGTTGAATGCGTGTTGGGCGTTTTCTCTACTTTGAAGCGCCGCAGCAGATTGTTTGTCTTTTGCGCTTCCCTCCGAATTTTGATATGAGGGGTAAACAGCCAGTGGTCGTTCACCTCCACAGCAAATGCTGCAGCAGCAGCAGCAGCAGCAGCAGCACCGGCTGCAGCAGCAGCACCAACAGCTGTAGCAGCACCCGTGGCGCAGATGAAGGCGGCTTGTGGCTGCTAAACGAGTTGCTGCAAAGGCAGTGGGTTTTGTTTCTGCATGCGCCAAAGGGTGTAGGTATTTAACTAAAATAGTGCTGCTATTCATTTCCAAGGGGGCCCCTACAGGGGGCCCTTAGGGCCCTACGCAGCACATATAGGCGAGGCTGCAGCAGCAGGCAGGTGCTGCAGCTGCTCCAGCAACAGCTGGAGCAGATTCAGCAGCAGCTGAAGCTGCAGCAGATTCAGCAGCAGCAGCAGTAGTAGCAGTAGATTCAGCAGCAGCAGATTCAGCAGCAGCAGCAGCAGCAGCAGATTCAGCAGCAGCAGCAGTAGATATCGGTGAAGAGGAAGCTGCATAAAGCCCAGCTATAGGAGGAGAGTGGGCGCCGCGGTTTCCTGGCTAAGTTCGCAGCGGAGTGTCTGCTGCTGCTGCTGCTGCTGCTGCTGCTGCTGCTGCTATTGCTGCTGCAGCTGTTGAAATAAGAAGAGAAAGATATTATTTGTTTTGTTGTTTTAATTAAAAAGAATACCCCAATGCATCTGCTCCTCGCAGAAGAACTTCAAAAGAAACAGTCAATTCCCCTGCGCTCTCAGCCCGCACCACTTCCAAACAAAACACAAAAAAAACAAGAGCAGTTTGTTTGTTAGAAGTATATATATATATATATATTAATGCATTTTTAATTAGAAATATATATAGATATATATTTAAATATATTTATATTTCTTAGTGCATTTATATTTAGGAATATGTTTACTCTTTATTCTTCAATGCCGTTACGAGTATTGGTGTTGGTATTTGTATTAGCTTTATGTGAATATTATATTAGAATTAGTATTAGTATTTCATTAGTATTATATTAGTATTATATTAGTATTAGTATTAACATCAGTATTAGTATTATATTAGTATTTTATTAGTATTAGTATTAGTATTTCATTAGTATTATATTAGCATTAGTACTAGTATTAGTATTAGTATTAGTATTAGCATTAGTATTAGTATTAGTATTGGTGTTAGTATTATATTAGTATTACTATTACTGCTATATTACTATTAGTATTACTATTGTTATTAGCATTTTTGTTAGTGTTAGTGCAGGGAATATTAGCAGCAGCAGTAGCAGCAGCAGCAGCTGCTGCGGAGGTAGCAGCAGCAGCAGCAGCAGTAGCAGAGGTAGCAGCAGCAGGAGCAGCAGCAGCAGGAGCAGCAGGAGCAGGAGCAGCAGCAGCAGCAGCAGCAGCGGACCTTCTCTGCCTTCTGTTTTTGCTGGTGTTGCGAGATCAATGAATTCTGCTCTTTGTGCATTAAGCCAGCCAGTAAGTCGAACAGAGAAAGAAGACCCCACAAGAGAGTAAACAGGCAGCCGCTTCAGGTGTCTGTACACACAAATATAAACAACAAAGCTATCCATACTCAATGCACCTGCGACTGCTGTTGCTGCGGCTGTTGCTGCTGCTGCTGTTGCTGCTGCTGCTGTTGTTGCTGTTGGTGTTGTTGCTGCTGCTACTGCTGGTGTTGCCGTTATTGCTGTAGGTGTTGTTGTTTCTGGTGCTGCTGCTATTGCTGCTGCTACTGCTGCTGCTGCTGCAGTGTTTGCTGCTCTTCTCACCGCCCCGGCTGTACAGGGATTGAGGCGTGTGCATAACCTGCGACTATTTGTCTGTTCAGCCTGCAGCAAAGACAAATAAATTAATTAAATAAATAAATAAATAAATAAATAAATAAATAAATAAATAAATAAATAAAGCTTATTTTAAGGCTCCAGTTCTAAATGGAGTATAAATGGAGACAAATGAAGAAGAAGACAAACAGAGAGAAGCAGCAAAAACAACAGAAATAATATACACACATATATATATATGTATACATATATATATATATTTAAATAAAATAGATAAGAGGCTTACAATATTATTATATAATTATAAATAAGACACATCAAGACAACAGGGGCAAAGTAATGCAAAAGAAATAATTTATATCGAAGTTAAGACAACAACAAAGACATACCAGTCTCTTCCATACACACAAAACGCCATCCGAGGCCAACCGTAAGGAGACGTCCCCTAAACCCTCACACAAACATTAAACCCTCTAGGGTTTAGGGTTTAGGGTTTAGGGTTTTGGGGGTAGTGGTTTGGCAGCTGTACACTCAGCAGTTGCAAAGAAACTAACTATTCCTAATCCCGCTGCCTCTATCCCCTGGTTTATTTGCTGCTGCTGCTGCTCCTGTTGCTGCTGCTGCTGCTGCTAGTTGTCTGCGTGGTTGCTGCTTAGGGGCCACCAGTAGAGGGCTCAAGAAGGCTATTAGCACAACTAGCCACTACTTGATGGATTTATTCTCTGTTGGCTAGCTAGCTAGCTAGCTAGCTAGCTCCTATTAGCTCGGTGGAGGTTCTGCTGGCTAGCTAGCTAGCTAGCTAGCGAAGAGGACCTGTCTAGCTAGCTAGCTAGCTAGCTGCGACGAAGTATGTCCATTCTTAACTGGCTAGCTAGGCCGCACCTTGAATGCAGCATGAAAGGGGAAGTTAAAAACAGCTTCTGCAGTATAGGGTGAGCAGCGCCCTTGTTGGGTTAAACCCCCAGCCAGGCCCTGTGAACAAAGCCAAACACAAACAGAATAAAGCAGTTGCAGCAGCTAGCTGGCTCACACCTAGCTAGCTTAGCAGAACAGCTAGCTGTCCTTCTCTCTGGCTATCTGGCTGGCTAACTAGCTTGCTAGCTGGCTACCCAGCTAGCCAACTACGTAGCTGGCTAGCTAGCTGGCTGGCTAGCTGGCTAGGTGGTTATCTGGCTAGCTGATTGCGGAGCTATCTGGCTAGCTGTATGGCTAGCTGGCTAGCTAGCTGGGTAGCTAGCTACCGTGGAAACGCCGCAACGCACCCAAGTATGGGCCCAGTCGCTGCCTACTACCATAGCGTAGCGACAGACGACGCCTCTTCGATTTCCCCACAGATGAACAGATTCAATAGAGCCATTCACAACCAGCAGCAAATGGTTTCCTGCAGACACCCCAAATGTAAATACTCATGCTTCCTTGTTCCTGCTGCTGCTGCTGCTGCTGCTGCTGCTGCTGCTGCTGGTGTTGGTGGTGGTGGTGGTGGTGCTGCTGCTGCAGTCAGTTGCTCCTGATATGCTGCTCTTTTAAACTCAAGAAATGCAAACAAAGTATTAATGAACACATCAGGGTGAATTAGACAAAGAGAATATATGCATGCAGCGCCACATACACACAGCGCACCAGGAATAGAAAGGGGAGTCTCAGGAGATGCAGCGTGAGCGTCAGCAGGTTGTTGCTGCTGCTGTTGCTGCTGCTGCTGTTGTTGCTGCTGCTGTTGCTGCTGTTCTTGCTGCGGCTGCGGCAGCAACTGATGCTGCTCCTCCTGCTGCATCTTCTGCTGTTGCAGCATTTCAGCAGAACAGCAGTGGAGCCGCCGCACTCTATCTAGCGACAATCCCCCTTACAGCAGCAACTGCTGCCTTCTTGCACATTCCCTCTATACAGACCGGCGTTATCTGACGGCCTTTCCTTGCTTCTAGTTTCAAAGAAGGCTGGGGTTAGGGTTTAGGGTTTAGGGTTTATGTATGCACACAGTGACTGCATTGTTGCATCGCCTGCACTGCGCCTGAACCTGCCGCTCTTTGTTTTATAAAATGCAACACTAATTTGAAATTAAATAATCTAAGCTTATTTTTTCATAAAGTTTATTCATTTATTCGCTGTTTTTAGCTGAGCTTCTCCCGCGTGTGGGAGGGGGGGAAGCAAACCATGCAGGAGTTGAACGTGCGGCCAGTGCAGTAATTCGGCTGTTTTTTTGCTCTTTTATCATCGAAAAAACAAATAAAACGTTAAAATACATTTAAAAACAATTAAAAATATAATTGATAGGGGGAAGGAAATGCATGCAGCACAGAAACCTGCATTGTACACACTGAGTGACCACCGGCCGCCAGTGTTGCATTTGTCGGTCTACTGCTCCGAATATTCTTTTTCTAAAAATTTATTTAATTTAATTATTAATTAATTTGTTTGTTTTAAACAAATTTAAACTTTTTTCATTCAAAAAAGAAAAAATTCATGCAGCACTTCGCACCGCCACCGACGCCAGCGTGGCGACCCATCGCCCACACTTTCTTCTTCCTGAAACTTGAGGAAAAAGTTGTAAAAGTAATATTATTAACATTTACATAAAACCTAAATTTAAAAATATAAATAATATGAATACTTCTGCTTCTTTTGCTCCTCATATACCTACAGTATTCGAAACCCCAGCACCACTAACATAAGATAAATATTGTGTTTAGCCAGCAAACAGTTGTTAATTATATAATTAAACAACAGTACGGGAGTTATAATTAAATAAATAAAAGACAGCAGCCAGCTTCTCTTTATTATAATATAAATAAAACGAACAACAACCAACTCCAGAGTTTGTGCATCAAGGTAGAAGCAGCAAAATTCAATTAATATCTTGCAAACAACACAAACATATATATATATATATTCATATATACGTATATTTATATATACTTAAAATATTTTTTCTTTGCTTCTTGCATTGTAGCAAACGCCTTGAAAGAGACAGCCAGTGTATATTATCTGCTACTCGTATTTTTGTGTTTTGTCTTTTTTTTATGCACTTCTCTTTCTCTTCTTCTCTGTTTAACTTAACTCCAGAACATATCTTTGTTATTGTTGATGGCTATTGCAACAAGACAAATAAAGCTGCTGTAGAATATACATAATGACTTATGCACGATAATATATAATCTATTTATTATGTACATATATATATTAAATATATTAGATATTACATAAAGCATTAAAAAACTAATACATCATAATATCATGAATAATGATATATTATATTTATATAATATAATATATAAATATTATAAATTTAGAATACTGAGTTTGTCTTGAAACAAACTTTTCTGTGTTGTCTTTTTATCGAAGAGTGCAGCGAAAGACTGCGTGGAAATAACTTTAATCTAAATTATTAAATAATAATATTATTATTACTATATAAAAAAAGCATCAAGGTAACACTACTAATAATAACAATAAATAATAATAATAATAACAATAATAATAATAATAATAAAAGAAGCAGTGCAAGCAGCAATGAAGCTTAGAGCAAACAAACAAATACATCAACAGGATCTCTAAAGCTGCACAACTGCGCAGGTTGTTACAACAAAATGAATACAATAAATAAACTAAATAAAATAAAATAAATAAACAAATAAATAAATAGATAAATAAACAAATAATATGTTTTAGTTAAATAGAATTGCCTTGCGACGCCTGTCTAAGGGCTTCCTTCACATCCGCTTTGATGCGCTGCGCTCGCGAGACATTCAAAAACATCAAATTACCTCCTGCATATATTCACAATTACAAATATATATATATATATATATATATATTTAGTATTATATGTGTATTTAGTATTATGTATAGGTTTACATAGATCAAAATAAAATAAATAAATACCTTTATTAAAATAAATGCAAGGCATACAATTACGAAAATATTACATTTATGTGTTTCTGCAAATACGAGCCGATACAGTGCAAAGACAGAAAAAGACAGCAGAAGCAAATTACCCTCTATAAATCAAACACCAACACCTTTCTTAATTCTAACAAATCTAGGGTTTAGGGTTTATCTAGGGTTTAGGGTTTATCTAGAGTTTAGGGTTTATCTAGGGCTTAAGGCTTAGGGTTTATCTAGGGTTTAGGGTTTTAGGGTTTATCTAGAGCTTAGGGTTTAGGGTTTATCTAGGGTTTAGGGTTTATCTAGGGTTTAGGGTTTATCTAGGGTTTAGGGTTTAGAGTAACCTGGCAATAAATAATGCAGCGTGACGAGCAGAGCGTCGGGTCTTTTCTGAAACTGCATTAAATAAAAACAAATAAAAAAGAGACAGAGACAAACAAAAATCAAAATAAAACAAAAACAAAAACAACAATATACAAACAGCAAGAATCAGACAGTGTCTGCATGCAGTGCAGCCCGATAAAAAGATTAGTCAGAGAACATCAGAGAACATCTTTATTGAAAATAGATTTATTATAATGCATTATACTATTTAAAATAATATAGTATGATATGGTATAATATCATATATTGTAATATAATACAACATCATATAATATACGACAAAATAACATATTACTCTATTATACAATATACAATAATATTTTATTTAGTATTATACAAGATAATACTATATAGTATAATATTATATTATACTACATAATATTATAAAAGATAATATTAAATTGACAATATAATGATTATTGAAAAAAGAAATAAATATTTCAGTATTAGGTTGTTCTCTCTCGGACTCAACGAGAAGAAAAAGGATATAAAGGAGAGTTTGCATGATGCATGCAGAAGCAAAATGTTGTTTTAATGAAAGTGTTGTTTTAATGCATTAAATATTTAATTAAAATAAGAAAAAGAAACAAAAGAAAACGTCTGCAAAACGATGTCTGTACAGTGTATTGTACAGAAGAGAATACAAGTTAAATTCAAGAGGCGTATCATTTATATTGCATTAAATATTTATTTGTTTTGTTTGTTATTACAATTAAAACAAGAAGAAGAAACAGATACAAAATAAGGATAAAGAAGCATTAAATATTTAATTGCAAGCAAAACCCTACATATTATTTTTCTAATACCAAATACTCTATTACGAACACCCGAAGAAAAATCAAAAAAAAACAAATAAAAGAATATAATAAACTTACAAGTTGTGTTAATGGCGGAGAAGATGCATGTACACCGAAGATGTCTGCAATGATATGAATAAAGAATGTAAGAGAGAGAGAAACTAATAAACAGTTTTCGTTTACTTCAAATACTATCATATAGAGGATTCTGCACAGCAACAACAACAGCAAAACACACAAAAAAACATTAAAACGTATATAAAGAAAAGCATGCATGCATGCATTAAAACGTATATGAAGAAAAGTATAAATGCATGCATGCATGCATGCAAGCATTAAAACCTATATAAAGAAAAGCATGCATGCAAGCATGCATGCATGCATTAAAACGTATATAAAGAAAAGCATGCATGCATGCATGCATGCATGCAAACATCAAGACGTATATGAAGAAATGCATGCATGCATTAACACATATATGAGGAAATGCATGCAGACAAATACCCCAGAGAGCATCGATTTATGTTTCTTTAGCAGATTGTTTATATTAAATGTTTTTATTTCTTTTTCATGTGAATGCAAACACTTTGCTTCATGCATGCATGCATGTATTAATATTTACTTATGCTTTGCATAACGCAGCATTTTATTTATATTAAATATAAATATATATGTTATATATTTATATATATATTTATACAGTAAACATAATATATATACATAATATATAACATATATATATATAATCATATAAATAATAATTGTTTTGTAAATATTATAATTGTTTTTATTGACGAACTCATCTACACGCTTCCATAGAACAAATTTAGGAGTTGTAAAAAGCGAAGAAATCTGCAGCATCAGCAAACCCTCGAGCACCCCGCTGTCTGAATTTGTAAAAGAGTTATCTTCTTGTCTGCATAAACATAAACATAAATTAAATTATAGAAGCAAGTAAGAATTTAAAAGAAAACATAGAAGAAATAGATTAAATAATAAGGCGCAAGAAATACTTTAAAAGAAAACAGAAATAGATTAATAATAATAAATATATATATATATATATATATATATATAATATTAAAAACTAATATG